AAGTAACATAGTGCAGGGTGAGCAGAGGAGAGCAAGAAATGTTACACTAAGTTGAAAAACACCAGCTACAAACTTCAAGCAGTTTATCTGATTGCAGGGCTTCCCAAAGTGGGCTCATGAGATCCGAGGCAGAAACAGACATCCTGCATTTTGGACCAAGTCAGAGCAGCCAATGAGAGACACTTGCTGACGGGTCAAGATTATTTTGAAGCCTCAAAGTGAAGTCACGGTGGGAAATAAATTTGGGAAGCACTGCCTTAACGGCACTGCTATGTGTTATGGCAATGGGAAGGAAGCCAAAGACAAACATACAAACTTGATGACCAGGACTTTGTAGTCAACCAGAGATACCAACTGGTCATTACATTTAGACTTGCCCACAGACCTTGGATGGAATTTCTAACTTGAATCACTGCAATCTGGGAGCCAGTTGAGGACAGAAAACTGTGCAAAGCTCAAATCAAATGGAAGAATTATTGCTGAGATGCATAGAATCTGAACCTGGTATTGCCAGTTTAAGTAGGTCAATGTTAAATCTGTTTGAAAGTACAAAAGAAGAAAAGGGAACCAAGTTGGACTGAGAGGTAAAGAAACAGAAAAAAGTTTGAAAATGCAAATCAGAAATATCCAATGGAATGAGGCTCTACACAAACTCTCAGGACCACAGTTTATCAGCAATTATAATTCACTTATATTGAAATGGGCAAGACCTCATTTCCATTTTGTCATTGTTCCAGTTCTGAGGAAGGGTCACTGGAGCCGAAACGTTAACTCTGATTTCTCTCCGTAGATGCTGCGAGACCTGCTGAGCTTTTCCAGCAATTTGTTTTTGTTCCTCATCTCTCTTAATAAGTTTATTGATTATCTATGATTTAAACACAGCAACTTAATACCATTCCATGTTTGTCAAACACTATTGTTGGACAGGAGCACTGCGTAACGAGGCTTCTGGAGGTAAAGGGACACTGCAGCTCTTTACATTATGGGAGGTGAAATGTTATTATTCCAAAGGAAAGAAAACATTATTTGTTGAAAGAAAATATTACATATCACCAAAAAGAATGATGAGCCGTGTTCCCTCCCCCTTGTTTGATTAAGATGACAAATTCTCAGAAACACCAATGCACAGGCTCCACTGCATCAACTTCAACAGCAATCATCACACATTACCGCATCAAAACATGGACTGAAAAAAAACCAACAGCCTAATGGCCCTCACACGTCACCATGACAATACGTAATTATGTCAGACAAGGTGCAACTAGCTTTGATTGATTTTACTCTGTTGCCTCACCCTAGCCTAAGGGCAAGCAGACAATTCCATTAGTAACAGCTTTAACTCTCAGATGTACAGACTGGGCTCACTTTCCCAGTTTTACATGATGAAGGGAGAGGGCAACATTTACATTAACAGTGAACGTGCTGTGCATATAAAATTTATTCTGCAAACAAAGGGGATAAGGACCACTGATAGGACCAGCAGCTGAGAAACAAAATAAAACCCATCAAACTGGCTTCTTCCTTCCTGGTAGCTACATGATCCAACAAGACTGGAATTGTTCAATTACCCTGGCGTTTACAGGCTCACGTGTGACAAAAAATCCCTTACCTGGGTATAAAGGTCCAACGCACACCACTTTAAAGTCAGGATCAATATTTATCCCTCAACCAAACATCACTAAAGCAGGATGTCGGACTATGATCGTGTAACAGTTTATAGGGGCTTTCTGTGCGTAAATTGTCAATTACGTGTGCTATATTTCAACAGTGACTGCATTTCAAATGTCATATGAAATGTTTTGGGACACCCTACGATTCTCAGAGGTGCCATATGAATGAAAGTCTCCTCTTTACTTTGTCAGGAAAATAACTAGATGAACATTTTGCATTGTAACTGCTGCCCAACCTGCAGCAGGGAGAAAGAGTTGGCACAGACCCAGGTGATGCTCACCCTGCCTCTTTATACACACGGTGGAATGACTTTGAACTTGCTTGTCAAGGCTCAGCACTCTAGGGAGGAACCTTTCAGTTTTTCCAGTCTTCAGTTTGCAGGACTTCGAATGGGAGTCAGATCACTTCGACATCCATCTTCAGTGCCTTCTTGAACAACTCGCCCTCAACGTCTCCATCACCTCTTGCTGCCTCCACGTCCACCTCTGTCTGCATCTCTCTGCACTGCTTCCCTGATCAGGAACTGCTCAGTTCATTTTCACCAACACATCCAGCTCAGTAAAAACAGAACCAGAGAGGAATGCTGACTACTGTCCCTATCTCTGAAGGAAGAGTCACCAACGTTGCTCAGTCCAAGGAGCCAGAGCAGGCATAGCTGGGTCTCTGAAAGAGCAGACAATCCATGGGACAATTCCACACCGCACTGTTCAAACCTCTCTCAGTGCTGCAGCACAGAGTCACACAGCACAAACAACCCAGCAAAGGTTCAGTTATCAACATGGCGGTATCCAACTCTGCCACCAAATATGACACCATCACAGCTGCTAAAGAGGCAAGTGCAAACCAGAGGGGCAGTACTTCTGAACATTCTGTTCAACTCCAGAATGCTCAGAAATTGACTACAGCCCCAGTGTCTTGAAGTAACAGATAATTTGCTACTGGCCAAATTACCCATTCGCATGGATGGTCACACCATTAAGTCAAGTGGAGAGAAAACAAAAGTTAACATTTAGTCCAGTAACTTTTCTTCAGAACCTTCACTGGACCCAAAATGTCAACTCTGCTTTCTCTCATTAGATGCTGCCAGACCCGCTAAGGTTTTCCAGCAATCTGTTTTGCTTTGGATAGACAGCAGCTGTTTTCCTTGGAGCAGAGGAGACTAAGGGGTGGGCATTATTACAATATATAAAATGAAGTGGGGGATAGACAGAGGAGACTGAACATAATTTTCCTCTTGGTACAGAGATCAATGACAGGGTTAGGATGTTGACAGGGGATGCGAGGAAATTTCTTTTCACCCTGAGGGTGGTAGGAATTTGGAACTGATTTGTGGTAGAGGCAGAAACCCTCATAACACATCAGAAGGCATCCAAGGCTATGGGCCAAGTGCTGGAAAATAGGATTAAAATAATTAGGTATTTTTGACCATTGTATCGATGGACCAAAGGGTCTTTTTCTGTGCTGCAGGCCTCTATTTTAACACAATATTACAAAAGGTGTATCAATACCCTTTTCGACTATGATACACGCATTGTTCACAATGAGTACAAATATTCTAAGACCTCCATAATTTTTTCTATTCCTGAACAGATATTGTTAACTCCAGGATATAATTGATGCCTTAATGAAAGCAAAGAACAATTCTCTCACATAAACCACATAAAAGGTGGACAATAAACCACACACAGTGAACAAACCCAATCTACAGCAAGTCTTATTCCAAACTAAACAACAGAGGAAAATTATTTTGGGAACCAGTTAGAGGTGCAACAAAACAACCACAAAGTAAAAGGGCAAGCGAAGAAAAGATTTGACTATAATTATTCAAATAATGAAGGAAATAATTTCTAGACAAGGAGTTGATTGTTAAAATGCAGTGTCATATTTTTAGAATGAGAAATATTAGCAAAATTTTCAGATTTAGCAACGAAAATAATTTAGAAGAATTTCCTATGCACTCTATCACTAAAGTACAAGTAATGGTGACTGAATCCTATAACTTTTTCCACAAAATAAATCAATAAGGATGATAAAGTCCTCAACATCCGAGTTATATTGTATATACAATGCAACATAATGACATCTAACCTCTACTTAATCCAAAATCTGAAGAAAGCAAACTGTTGAATAATTTGAAAAGAGCAACGAGAAGAATACAAGAGGGAATTTAATGTTAAACAAATGGGGAAAAAAAAAAATCACTAATTCACAGCCATGGTTCAACAACTGTATAAAATTCAGGCTTGTGCTCCAATGCAGCACTGAGGGGAAAATTACACTTCGAAGCACAGGAGCAGAAGGCCATTCAGCCCCTCAAGCCTGTTCCACCATTCAATTAAATCAATACCAGAGGAACACGCATCTGTGGCCTAACTCATTTACCCGGCTTGGGCTTATACCCCTTCGTACCTTGGCTCAACAGAAATACCAGTGAAGGTGCTATCTTTTAGAAGTCCAGCTACCTTGCCAGGTGGATAGCAGTTATCTGTGGCAAGCTGGCTAATGTTCATTAAATGGTGGAGCTAGCTCAAGGAGTGAATTGCCTCCTCCTAGTTCTTAGGGTCATACAGTCATATAGCATGGAAACAGACCCTTCAGTCCAACTCGCCCATGCCAACCATATTCCCAAGCTGAACCAGTCCCACTTGCCTGCATTTGGCCCATATCCCTCCAAACATTTCACATTCATGAACCTATCCAAATGTCTTTTGAACGTTGTAACTGTACCTGCATCCACCACTTCCTCTGGCAGTTCATTCCACACAGGAATCACTGTGTAAAAAAAAAATTGTCCCCTCATGTCCTTTTCAAATCTTTCTCTTCTCACATTAAAAATATGCCCCCTAGTTTTGAACTCCCACACCCTAGGGAAAAGACCCTTATCATTCGCCTTGTCTATGCCTCTCATATTTTCATAAACCTCAGTTTCTAAACCAGATCTACTGTCACGTATTATCACATTGGTGTTTGAGAGATCTTACTGTGCACAAATTGGCTGCTACGTTTCTCACGTTACAGCAGTAGCAACATCAATTCAAAGAGAACCCAACAGGCTGCAAAATGCTTCGGGGTGCCTCAAGGCCTGGATAAATTCAATGATGTTTTCTCTATTTTGATTTGAAGCAACTTTGAATGAAAGGGCACCAGACCACATGGTGGTCCGATCCACAGCAGCCAATGTTTTAGCAATGCCTGCGCTGATCTCTGAGTGACCAACATTGCTGTCCCATCAGGCATGAGAGGAAAAACTATGGAGTGTTTTGAGGTATCACACTACCTTTAGGATAAGACAAACAAGTCTTTGTTGATAAATCTGCTTTGTAAGCTATTACAGATTGTCAAACCAAGGTGGCATCATTCATTTCTAACAATTATATTTTTACATGCATGCATAAACACCTCAAAACTCCAATTATACAGCAAAACATGAAATGTAAAAAATTCACTGCCCTAAAGCACCACCACCTCACTACCCCAACCCTCCTCACTCACCCACAGGAACAAACACCATTACAAAGAAATTAATTTTGATGATACAGAACATTAAATGTTCTGATATCAAATACTAACTCAACAGTTAGTTACAAACTTTCATCTTAAAATGAAAAAAGTGTTTGCAAGGTTGATTTTGCTCCTTGTTGTTTTAGACTGGGTTTATAAATTGGAACTGATAAAAGTTAATGGTGTCTGGGGGACTGAGATAAACCCAGTTGGGATTATCCAGTTGCTTCAGTCCTTGCCTGTATACACAGAAATTTAAACATTTCAATAGCATGGGTCACCCCCTCCTCTCCCTATATTAAATGAGAAACAGGGCATACAGGCAGAAAACAGAGGATGGAACACATTCACTTCAACACCAACAGTAGCTGCAAATTATCAAGTCAAATCCTCCACTTTGTTACCCAGTCTTCGGAGACCCTTTTAGTGTTTCAAATACCTCACTGCAAGTTCAACAAATTAAAGAAACAACAGCTTTACTTGGAACATAAAAACATAAAATAATATGGAATGAACTTGGAATTACATGAACCTCAGGACTTAGCAAAGCATTCAACAGCCAATGAGATCCTCTTGGACGTGCAGTTACCGTTGTCATGGAGGAAGCATGGTTGCTCATTTGCACACAGCAAGCTCCCACAAACAGCAACACCATACACCATAAGTTGATTTATTTAAACAAGGCTCAGCAATCCCATGTGGCATTTGACACAGGGACTCAGGTTTAGGGAGTCCAGGTGAAATCAAGATCAATTAAACAAGTGGAATTTAATCCATGTTTTAAGCGGCATATACTCATCCCTTCCTCTTACACTATTACAGAACCTGAGGAAAACACGTGGAACACATCCTTATTCATTAATAGGTTTAAGAGCACCTTTCTAAAAGAAACTGGATAGCTATTTGGAGTTCTGCAGGGAAAGGGCAGGGAGTGGAGGTGGGGAGGGTGACAATTTCAAAAACAGCGGTAGTATGTAGATGACAGATTGAATGGCCTGCTCTGCAGTCTATGATGATGGAGCTGATGATACAGGAAGGTCTCCAGTGAGTTCGAATACCAGAATAATGTCAACCGGGATGACAGGTTTTGGGGGTGGGGAGCACGAGATGGGGAGGGGGGGAGCGCGAGGAGGAGGGAAACGAGGAGGGAATTGAGGGGTGCAAGGGGGGAATTGAGGGGGGCATAGAGTGAGGGAAAGGAGAGGATAGGGTGAGGGGAGTGACCGAGCTCCCTACCTCGGTGGACGGGATGTTGACCACTCCGGTGGACCTCCTCTTCTCTCTCAGCTTCCTCTTCTCGATCTGCGCTTTGCCCTTCCTGGCGCTGGGCCCGGAGCTCTTACCCTTCTCTTTGCTCTTGCTGCTGGCGGGCGGCGATGAGGAGGATGCGGCGGCGGCGGCGGTAGTAACGGGCGGGTTCTCCGCGTCGACCTCGTCGGGGAGCGGGTTTCTGGCGGCGCTCTCGCTGCCTTTGGTGGCGCCGGTCCCGTCCTCGTCCGCCGGCCGCTTATTGAGCGGAGCCGCGGTCCTGGTGGCGGCTCGCTCCCGCTCCCCGCCGCCGTTATTGTTGTTGCTGAGCTCGGCGGGCGGCGGCGCCGGCGGGGCACCGTTGCGGTTCGGGCCGATCTCAGCGGAGTTAGCGCCGGTCGCAGCGGCGAAGCGGGCTCGCATCTTCTCCCGCTTGGCTTTCCATTCCTCCAGAAAATCGGTGGTATTCCCGGGAGGCCGGTAACCGCCGCTCGCCATCGCCAAAACCCGAGAGAGAATTCAACAGGAAAAAAAAAACCCGCACACACACACACACAGAGAGAGAGAGAGAGAACGCTCCTTGTTCCAACAACAACAAAAAGTTTCTTTTGTGTCTCAATCCTTCAGAGAGAGGGGGGGGGGGTGGAATAAAGTCACAAATAATCCTCAGGTGCCGGGAGAGCTGGAAAACACAGGAAGAAAACAAAAAGCAACTTTTACAAAAGTTCGCCAAACTTTTCAGAAAGTTCATTCAACTTTGCACAAACTTCCCAAACTCTCGGCTCGAGGTCCCTCTCTCCCACAGCAACACGCCCCCCACCCCCCACCCCCAACACCAACCCCCGGGGACAGCCCCCTACCTGCTGCCTCCCTCCCGGGCCAGGTGATTGCTCTCCGTCCCCGTCCCCCCTCACCCACCCCCAACACCATCCCCCACGGGCCCCAGCACACGGCCCGCACCGACCTGCCGCCCGGCGCGATCAAACCCCACAGCGCAGCCGCACCGTCCCGTCCCCTCCGCCTTCTTTCTCCCCCCCCCCCACCCCACCACACTCCCCCGGGGAGGGCCGGCAGTGGCCCCCGCCGCTCGGTACCTGCACACAGCCGGACACGCACAGAGAGGGAGAGGGGGCAGGCACAGGTCGGGGGCGATAGGTACCTCAACTCATAGCAGCAAATGTCCCTCCTCCCTGTACCTGCACCCGGCACTTAGAGCACGGAGCGGCGGGGGGGTGGGGGGGTGGGGGGGAGCTCCTGCTCACAATGTTCTTCCACCTCCTACCTGCAGGGGAGGAGAGAGAGAGAGAGAGAGAGAACCAGAAACACAGGCTGAGAGAGAGAAACAGATACACAGGAAAAAAAAACAGGGACAGAGACACACACAGTCGCAGATGAAGAAAGCAGAGACACAAGCAGAAGTGGCCAAAAAGATAAAGGCAGAGATAAAAGTTCACGCAGCAACAAAATCGATACAAACATAGGGAGCGGGGTAAAACAAAACACAAGCACACACACGGTGAGGCACAAACAGAGAGAAACTTACACAAGCAAAAACAGATAGAGGTGAGCACAGCGACAGAGACATACACACACGGGAGCAAAGACAAAGAGAGAGAGAGAGAAACATATGAAGGGAGACAGACAGAGGGGCAGACAGGGATATAGGCACAAAGGTAAAACAGAGATAAACACAACAGATAGATGGTCACAGAGATAAAAACACAAAACACAGATAAAGACCCGAGATAAGCACAAACAGAAATAAAGACGAAACAGTGAGGCACGCAGTTAGAGAGTCAGACACATACATAGTGGTAGAGGGATAGACACAAACGTACATAGAAACACAAGATGACACACGGAGATAGAGAAGCACAGGCACAAACAGAATCGTAGAATCCTTACAGTGTGGAGACAGACCATTCGGCCCATCGACTCCACACCATCTCCAAAGAGCATCCTACTCAGACCCATCCCCTATTATATCCCTATAACCTTGCATTTCCCATGGCTAATCCACGGAGCCTGCACGTCTTTGGAATGTGGGAAGAAACCGGAGCACCTGGAGGAAACCCACGCAGGCACGGGCAGAAGGGTAAATGACTGTGTGGAGTTTGCAGAGGCTGGAATCGAACCCGGGTCGCCAGCGCTGTAAGTGAGGCACAAACAGAGGGAGAGACGCTGACACAGAGGTGGGAACGCGTAGAGATAGAGAAATACTGACACAGAAAGAAACACACAGGGACAGAGATATACAAAGATAGAGACAAAAACAGACAAAGAGACACAGATGGAGGGACAGAACCAGAGATAAAAACAGATTTAAACAGAAAAATGCACAAACTTAGTGAGACACCATGTTAAACATGCATAATCAATAAATATTAATACAATGTGTTTTGGAATTTGGATTTTGATATAGAAACATGGAAAATACGAACAGGAGTAGGCCATTCAGCCCTTTGAGGCTGCTTCACCATTCAATATGATCATGGCTGATCATGCAATCTCAGTATCCCACTCCTGCTTTCCTCTCCCCATATCTCTTGATCCCTTTGGCCACAAGGGCCATGTCCAGCTCCCTCTTGAATATATTTAATGAACTGGCCCCCAACAGCTTCCTATGGGAGAGAATTCCACAGGTTCACAGCCCCGAGTGAAGAAATTCCTCTCCACCTGTCTTGAATGACCTTATTCATAGAGAGAGTGACCCCTTGTTCTGGACTTCATGAACATTGGGAACATTCTTCCTGTATCTAGCCTGTCCAGTCCCATTAGGATTTTGTGTTCCTATGAGATGCCCCCTCATTTCTTCTAAATTCCAGCAAGTACAAGGCCAGTCAATCCAATCTTTCCTCATATGTCAGTCCTGCCATCCCAGGAATCAGTCTGGTGAACCTTTGCTGGACTCCCTCAACAGCAAGAATGTCCTTCCTCAGACTCGGAGACCAAAACTGCACACAATACTCAATTCCTCAGAGGAAGGGTCACCGGACCTGAAACGTTAACTGTTCTTTCCTTCACAGATGCTGCCAGACCTGCTGAGCTTTTCCAGCAATTTCTGTTTTGTTTCCCGATTTACAGCATCCGCAGTTCTTTCGTTTTTTACCCTGTATAACTGCAGCAAAACACCCCTTATCCGATAAGTCAAATCCTCTATGAAGGCCAGCATGCCATTAGCTTTCCTCACTGCCTGCTGCACCTACAGGCCAACCTTCAGCAACTGTCCCACCATGACATTCTGGTCTCGTTGCACCTCACCTTTTCCTAAACTGCCACCATTCAGCTAATAATCTGCCTTCCTGTTTTGGTGACCAAAGTGGATAACCTCACATTTATCCACATTATTTCTGAGATAGTAGGAACTGCAGATGCTGGAGAATCTGAGATAACAAGGTGTAGAGCTGGATAAACACAGCAGGCCA